CTAGCCATACTATGGCCCTGGGGTCGACTCAGCCTCTAACACAAATGAGTGTCAGGATTCTTCCTGGGGCCAAAGTGCGACCGGCGGGTAAGGTTGACCACACCACCATTTATGTGCCGATTGTCTAGAAAATGTATGAGCCTCAACGTATGGGCCTTCACTCGCTGTTACAGGGAGAGCTTTAGCTTGAAAGTGGTATGCAGTAATTATTTTTAATGTGAGGTTTTCTATAAGCAATTAAGAAAGAAGCAGAGCCATTGTGTAAGTTTTGAGGTTTTCACGGCGATTACTATAAAGAAAGTCGTCTTCTGGGATCTGGCGTCGCGTATTCTTTGTTTCAGCCGACGTTTCGGAGGAACGTATCGCCTCCCTTCGCCCCCCCCCCCCGACCATATATGGCCTTAATCGCTCTTCACTGTTCCCATTGGTCCCCTCTCCCTAACCACCCCCACTGCCTACTTCCTCTATAAAGAAGCGCCTTTCACTTCCTAATCATTACAGCTACTGCTCTCTGTATTCGCAACGCAATTCACTTGCCCTGAAGATGGAGGCGATACGTTCGTCCGAAACGTCGGCTGAAACAAAGAATACACGGCGCAAGATCCCAGAAGACGACTTTCTTCAAGCAGAGCCATTGTTTAAGGTTTTGTATGACAGGCGACTCGCCAACAGAAATCAACTTCCGAGCAGCTACTGATAATAGCAAATCCCAGTACAGTTGTCCGTGTAGTTCGGTTTACAATAAGCTACAAGTTATTTAACTTCTGTAGAATCGCTTTACTGTGCGTGATAAAGGAACGAATGGCCAGCGGAACTGCCATTGCAATGAGAAAAGGCATTCACCACAGCCATGTTAACCTGCCTCCACTTGTGTCAATAGAAGCCACAGTGGTTTGCATACCGATCGGTAATAGTGAAGTGCTACTTGCAGCAGTATAAGTCCCCAGGCCACACCTGGAATGATGCAGACATCACTGAGCTATTTAACTACTGGCAGGATATTTGCATGCCAAAGAGCCATTTTCGAACAGCGTAATTTCCAACACCTCAGGCGTGAAACTACTGAATTTACTGGATATAAATGAGATTGAAATTTCAACATCACAGTTTCTCACCCGTTATTCTCCTGCGGGAAGTGGTGACGTGCTCGATATTCTTGCGCACAAAAATATTCGGCTGGCAGAAGCCATTATCTCTGATATTCTGGAATCTGATTACTTACTAATCGTTTTCCAGTTTCTGGATCATATTAGAAGTAGGAATTATTCGAACCCGGTCGACAAATTCACAGATTGGAAGAGGGTACAACGTTTGGCCTCTGAATTTATTTGACCTACAATCCTACCCACTCGGAGGGAGAAGGCGATAAAGCGGCCCGCGACTTCACTGCCACCATAGCTTCGGCGTGGGGGCTAGAGACAAGCAAAGTTACACTCTCGGACGTTAATAAGGATATACCTGGTCTGGAGGTTAAGGAAACTGTGGCAAGTAACCCGGGGCCCCGCACAGAATAGCACGTAATTGAATCTTCAAGCCCATCAGACGAATGACCCGTAGAGAGACACTAGAACGGTGGGAAACAAAAGCAGGGAACTGTGAGGTCACACTTCAAGCTCTGTGGCCCCTTGGGAAAGCACCAACCGCTTTAGGAATAACATATAAACCGAATGAGAAAACTAGTTCACATCTCATGACCTGTGTGACGAAAGCCACGAGAGACAGGTGGAGACTACAGTCCAAGCCCTGCTTGCTTTCCCACAAATATCCTATACGCATTCCTCGTATCCCCCATTCGTGCTACATGCCCTTCTGACCTCATCCTCCTTGTCTTAATCACTCTAATTATACTTGGAGCAGAGTGCAAGTTATGAAGCTCCTCATTATGCAGTTTTCTCCAACCTCCTGTCACTTCATCTCTCTTCGGTCCGAATATTCTCAACACCCTGTTCTCAAACACCCTCAGTCTATGTTCCTCCCTTAATGTCAGAGACCAAGTTTCACACCCCTACAGAACCACAGGTAAAATTATAGTTTTATATATTTTAATTTTTATGTTTGTGGACAGGAGACGAGAAGACAAAAGGTTCTGCACTGAATGGTAGCAAGCATTTCCCGAATTCAATNAGTCCCACCTGGTTTCCCTGGACCTTCCTAATGACATATTATAAGGCAAAGTTGAAAAGGACTGGCGATAAAGCATCTCCTTGTTTTAGACCATTCTGGATAGGAAATTTATCAGACGAATGTTTACCTACACGGACTTTACTATACGTTTCGTTTAAACACATTTTAATCAACGTAACTAGTTTCATGGGTATCCCAAACTCTATCAGAATATTGTACAATACTTCCCTCCTAACTGAATCATAGGCTTTATTGAAGTCTATGAATAGCTGATGTACTGTCTCATCGTACTCCCATTTTTTCTCCAATATCTGACGAATGCAAAAGATCTGATCTATAGTTGGTCTGTTACGTCGAAACCCACACTGATGATCCCAATAATTTCATCTATATATGCACTTAACCTTCCGAGAAGAATATTGGACAAAATTTTGTATGAAGTTGATAGCAGTGATATCCCCCGACAATTACTACAGTCAGTTTCATCACCCTTCTTGTGAACTGGTACAGCAATAGAATCTGCAAGCAGATTACCATTCTCATCCTTCACTATGTTACGGCTAGTCTGGGAACCTCTCTTATGGTCATTTATTCCTCTATACAGGTCTCTAACGTGCTTATTCTTACTGTTCATTGCAAGCTCATCAATTTTGTCTTTCAGATATTCCCTCTTTTTGTTCCTGAAATGCCTGCTGGTTTCGCGTCTTATATTGTTTATATTATCCCTATTTAACTCGCTTGGATCCTGTAAACACTGCAATTTGGCCTGCTTTCTTTGATCTAATAATTTTGAGCACCCTTCATTGAACCATGGCTTGTGCTTCTTCAGTTCATAACAACCTAGACTCTCTTTGGCAGGTATTTTTATATTCTCCTAATAGTTTCCCGAGCTTTATTAAGATCCACCTCGAACCCGCCTCCACACGGGCTTACTGTTAGTGTCAAAGTCAAAGTCACAGTCTTGTCTTTGTGGGGCGCCCTCTCTGACGAAAGGAGGGGTCTATCTTTTGTATATGCTGCTGTCCCTTTCCAGCGCAGTCTTTCTCGGGTCCGAATCCCTTGGGACTCGCGACCATATTTTACTGACTCAGTAAGCCTCTAAGTGAGGCTTTTATAGTTCCTAAATCCGTTGACAGGAAACGGATAGTGAAAACATTGTCAAGGCTTGGCCATTGTTGAGATCTGTTACATAGCAACCACTAGTGCAAGCAGATATAGAATATTTTATTTTATGTGCTATAATTACAGTAATGTTGAGGGTGTCATAATTAATTGTAAAAAAGGTAAAAGGTAACGCTATCCCTGTAACAGGCGGTGGAGGCCCATCAGGTTGTGAGACGTTGAGGATCCCACATTTTCTAGACAATCGGCTCACAGATGGCGGTAAGGTTATCAGCCTTACGCCCTTTACCCCCATGAACTCTTTTCTGTTAGACTCGAACGCAGGACCATAGTCCGGCTGGAAGAATTGGGTCAATTGAAAAAATGCACCTCACTGGGGTTCGAACCTGCGACCTTTCTGTTTGCAGCATTGTGCCTCAACCAGCCACGCTACTGCGTGCCCCGCGTTTAATGAAACATACGTTAAATATTATATAGGTTTCTAAGTGAAGAGACACTCTAATTTTTCATGGAAGCTTCATATATATTTTTATAGAGGACTGTTGGGTACGAAATTTCATTAGACGCCGATAAATTGCAGAGGCATAAATGAAGGGCAGGCAGGTAAAGGAATTCGATAACGTAACAGAGCGTTTTGTCCTTTTTCGAAGATCCTTTGAAGTATCATTGTGAGACACACGTAAAAACCGATCTCTAGTATTCGGAATTTTAAATTATCAGTTTCCAAGGCCGTTAGACCATTGAAGGTCGCAGTGCGAGGGCCAGTTTTATGGCTCACCCCTCATACTCATACTCATACTCATACCGTAGCCATTATTCTAACAGAAGTTTTTATTGTTTTAACAATATCTCGTTAAGACTCAGTACACAGTGAGGGCAGTCTCTTACTCAACCAACTTGACACAAAATTCACTATAGAGTATATACGTGTATATGTAGAGAATATCATATGGCAAAGTAGCAGAAATTTGAGAATTTACACACCCAATCACAGATAAACTGATTGAGCATTTCAACACTGAATTTCTTGTAAATAATATGTAAAATTTAGTTCGTAATACACAGGAAACACATTACGTCTCTGCTACAAATCCCAATGCTGTTTATTGTGAGAACCATAAGAAGCACACAAATACACTGCGTTGGCAGAATCCAGAGTTTTAGTAAGTTTACGTAGGAAGTATATATTCTCTTGTATTGGGGGTTCTCGTGACTAATAATAACGGATTCCGGATTTGATGATTGGGTTTATTGGCACTTCTTTACAATTAAAATTAACTATAACATCTAGCATATTGAACTCCTGTCTGACGAATCTCTCTTAAGAACCTCCAATTGCTGTTTGACTCTCTGACTATTGAATATCCAATAAATCGATTCACCAATCCAAACCCCTTCTACAAGTCACTAAAACACGTGACTCTATTCTTCCACCCCTCCGTATGTCCTCATATTGCGGTGCTTAATTAATGAAAGCTCAGGGATAACTTGACCTTCAACATTAGAGTGATATGAAACAGTATGGTAAAGTGATGGCATATTTGAAATTACTGTCCAATCATTTGTATTGTAAAGCTGAGGAAAATTATGGAAGACCTCTGTTGGACAGCTGATACCCTAGTAAATATCAAAATTAAGTACCTACCAAATATAAATCTGTCTTCTTAACAAGCTGACCTGCTTGAATAATGAATTTTCACAAATAGAAAGTAACTGGAATGTTCTAACTTTGGCATAATTTATTATATTTTCAGCTCAGACAACGTGTAATCAAGGAATTGGCAAAGTAGTTTATGAACGTTTGCCTGATCAGCAGCTGCAGGGCTTTGATGATGATGTGGTAAGTTCTGACAATTTAGGGTCATATTCAGACAGAATAACATTTGGCTAAGTGAATATATACTGCAGTGATGGACTAGAGATATAATATTACTTCAGGTCACCAATAGGCCATCTTACATATGTGAAAAATATAAACTCTTGGTTTAAATTTTTCAACTCTATAACAAAAAGGAGAAAGGTCAAATATGAGAAAAACACAAATCCCTCTGTAACATAATCTGTGTCACATACTTATGCTATGGTCTTCACAGTTGTAAAGCCATATAGTAGATATCAGTATTTTGGAGGATGATGTTACCTCAATCTTCAGGAGAGAAGGGGATCAGAACATCCATTCATAGGACATGAACCGGCTTATGGCATCTCAATTGGAGTTTCCAAGGAAATGGTCAGGGACTGGATAAATAGAAAACACACAAAAAACACTAGGAATCCATAACTGGACTTAGACAGGCAAAGAGGCTTATACTAGGGCCCACTGCCAGAAGAGCAAAGAATCTGTAAAAATTAAACAGAGACCAATTAAAATGGATGGTAGGACTATTTACAGGACACTATCGCCTAAAAGGGCAACTTCTCAAACTGGGTTTGGCAGTTGACCCTACCTGTGAAAGGTGCCTGGAAAAGATGAATCAGCTACACATATCATATGTGACTGTAAGGCCATAGCGTATAAGTATTTAAAATTTTGTCACCTGGGCCAGTTCTTAATGGAAGCAAATGACTGTTATGACACCCCTCATAAAAAACTCCTACATTTGATTTGAAATGTAGGATTCATAAAGAGTTCATCAAAAGGGGAAGCACAATAGATTATTGAAGGTCGTGGTGCAAGGGCCACATTATTATGGTCCACCCCTCATACATTCAATCATTCAATCAATCTTCAGGGCAAGGTGACCTTAAAAATGTAGGCAGAATTTTCTTCCAAAATATTGCTACCCATTTAAAAGTCTAAATGGTTTCACAATCCAGAAGATCATAACCTGAATACTTACCTACTTGAAATATGCATAATTTAACAGCAGTTTATACCAAAGTGGGTATGATTTATTAAAGCTGTAATTCTTTTAATTTTTCCTTTTCTAGAAGAAAATAAAAAAATAAAGAGGTCTAGTCTTCAGGTCTATAAAGTAAGATTTAAAAGTCTCTCTTACACTATTAGTTAATTTCATAGGTAAACAAATAACTTCCACAATTTTTCAGAATGCCTCTTTTAAATGAGTATTCATTTGTTTTATTGAGAGTTTTAATTTTTTTGGATGTGGAAGAAAAGTGTGTTATGATTGTGAAATATATTTTAATAAAATCTTTTATATTTGATAAACAAGTTTCAGAACACTCCTTTTTTCTTAGCACCATATTCAGTTAAATTTAACCAAGCATGTACTAGACACCTGTGGATGAATCCATAAGCTTGAACATGTTCCTTCCTGTAATCATACATTTCTGTTAGATCTCATCCTAAGTTATGTAATTGTCCAAGGACAAAAGATTTTGCTGTCTAATTTAATGGTAAATTACGTTCAAATGTGCATACTTCAGAAGATAGCAATTAGCAGCATAGAATTACCAGAACTGGAGCATGATAAATAAACTAAGTAAACAGTAGGTTAGGAAGTTCAAGCTCATTTTATAATCTAATCCATTTGTTTCCAATTAATTTTATTGACAGCTCAGCTTCTCACAGTTGAGCTCACAGATGCTTGAAACAACCACTTAAGGCCAACATACCCTAAAATTCTTATTTGCTTAACTCATCGGAGAGCAGAACAAAATTTAAATAATAATGACTCTTGCAATTGGAGTCAAATTTCTCACTTGAAAAAGTAAGTGCTTAATTAGTTAAGCACAGGGACAACTTTATCTTATTTTTTTTATGATGAAACATTAATTTGGCTGAAATGATGGTGACAAGATTCAATGTTTTGAAGAGCACAAAGAAGAAAACAGGTACAGTCCTATCTATAACAGCTGAAACAGAGGAGGACGCACTTCTGAATATGAGAAATACCATTTAAACTTAAAATTGCTTTACTTAGTAGAATTGTTGGACCATCCATTTTTACACTTCACAAAATTTCATAACATTGTAAATTACATAACTCTTTTGGCACTGCAGCACTCCTCTTTGGGACATTAAAATTCACCCTCGAAAAGTCATATTGTATTTCCCACGGAAGTGAATATGCATGGGACATAAATAATATGACATAACTGGTACTTCTAAATGTCACCATGAACAGACTTCATGTTGCCAAATTATTCATTCATTCATCAGTAATCTGTCAGACGATAGGTCCACAGTCTCTTCCAAAACAGTTCCTCCACTTAATGCAATCTCAACATTCTCCTTCAAATAAAAATATCCTCTTCTATCCCCTAAGTCATCCAACATCTTCTTACGTCTTCTTCCTCGTCTTCTGGTCACTTCCATCTGCCCCTCCAATTTAATCTCGCATACATGGTATCTCCGTTTTTGGAAAGAGACTATCCTGGAAAAGTGATAATGTGGTAGTTTTTCCATTTGCTTTCCACATTGCAGTACAACAGCCTTTCAAACCACTCTGGTCACACCTGTTGCCATATGAACTTGAACCATCTCGAGCATCATTTGCTCTGTGCTTCAAGTCGCTGCGGATGACGCTGCTTCCAGCATTGGTTTTTGGTTTTTGGTGTCTCTCTTCGTCTGATGCCTACCCTCTGACCTGTCCAGCAAGAGAGGCCCTGCCAATAACTATGCTACCACTGGTATTGCGCTCAGGGTCCTTGGCATACTCAAACCCCCTCACCACAATAAGGTGGAGACACCAACGAGGGGGTGCCAAATTATACCTCAAAGAAATAACACAAGAGATGAGATAAAGATGAGGTGGAGAATCATGTTTTGTTCACATAATTGATCTCCTTGATGAGAATATGGTGGTCGGCTGAAGGAAGACTTGAGAGTATTTGTTGCTTACTGAAACACATTTCAAAAAAGTTTTCCTCGTTCTACAAACTTCACTTCATCAAATTGTTTAACTGTCATCTCTCCCCTAAATTTATCAGTGCATGCATTCACCATCACTCTGCCATTTCCGTTGTCCCTTGCCTTATAATGTGAATAAACATACAGTAAGAATTGGTTTTATTTTTCCATAATATTTCTACAATAAATGGCTCATATGACATAGGATCTGTAATGCCCTAGCGGCGCAGGGGGGGAATGGAGGTATCCCTCCTGCTGCTGCCGCCGCTGTAATGCCGTGGTACAGGGGGGGCGTGGAGTCAGCCCGCCTCTGTCCCCCCAGTAACTCCGCATGTAGGGGCCGTGGAGGTATCCTTCCTCGCCTCCACTAGTTATGTCGTAAACTGGTACTCCTGGTAACGTCGCGCCGTCGGGGGTGTGCAGGTACCCCTCCTTGCCTCCACTGGTTATGCTGTAAGGCGTTAACGCAACCATCCTAGCTTACCCTTAGCTAGGATTCTCCTATATCGGAGTTTCCTTCTGTCATACAAGCTGCCACCATCTATTTTCTGTTCTTTCAATTGTTGGTACTACTCCCTGGCATATAGTCTTAGCTCCTTCTTGACCACTCCGCATATGGTTTACAGGTAGCCACGTAATCCATTAACATTACACTTTATCTTCGGATCTTGGGAGGGCGTTACTATCAAGGCTACCGTACTCTGCCTGTGTGGCAGGAGCCTATCCCTGCCTATTCTTATCTTCATCTTCGGCTGCCACTGCGGCCTGTGTCAGTTCTGCCCTCGCTCGTCAGGATTACTCGGGATCGGGTGTGGGAGGTGGAATATATATATGAATTACACTCCCGGTACATCCTATCCTATCCTAGCTGTCTATTTACATTAATATATATATACACAATTTACATTATTTACAGGTTACAAAGACGGTCCTTCCGTCGTGACTACATATTCTGTTTCTTCAAGTTCTTCCCCCTCATGGGGTGAAGGCTTCGAGCCTCTCTCTCTCTCTCTCTCTCTCTCTCTCTGACTTGCTAACGAGGACATGCAAGTCCCCCTCGAGAACATATATAGTTTCCCTGTACATTTCTTATTATACATGATCTATGATTACCGATCTATCGTACGGTCTCGTCTACATAAACTACCCTTAGTTATGTTTGTAACTCAAGTTCCCATATACTATCTTTACTATAACACACTAACCCTAACTTTGATATATATATATATATTATGAATCACTGTTGGCCTGCCTAATGTCCTAGGCCTTCACATTAATCTATCATCCTACCCTCGGGGCTCACTGGGTACACTTGAAATTGCACATGCAATATCTCAACACACTGTATCACCAATACTATGGAACAACGTTATTATCACTCGGCATGGCTAATATGCGTGAACAAGACTTACTTGACATAGAAGACTGTAGGCCCTTCCGGCGCTTGTTAAACCCATATTGAGCAGCGCCTCCGGCTGACAACTGAATATTCTGTTTAAAATCAGAATTCCAAGTCTCTTGACTTTCCCTCATTTATAGTCTTAATTCGCTGATTCAGCGTGGACGACAAGGGGGTAGATAGCTCCTCCCTTGTGTTCTAATTTCTTAAAGTTAGGCTTTCATTGGGTATTCTATGTGGCTGGGGGTGGACCTCTTGCGTCTTATCGCTGTGTATTTACTCATATGACCATCTCCAGTGGCCTAGTTAGCGGAGCGTCTTGCATACGGTATTACGCATGAATGCTGATTATCGCATTCTTAACCTCATTGCGTGTCCATGTGTTGTCATCTTTGCTCTTTCACTGCAAAACACTTTTCGCAAGTCTCCAGGCACCTGGGTAATGACTTAAATTTTCAATCCCAAATTTGATCCTCAACAGGATCAGAATTCACAATATAGTATTTCTGAACACATCTTTGCTTTCCCGTGTAATTACTCCATTAATCTAGTAAGACAGTAAACTGATATTGTTTCATTTGCATCAATATATAGCAACCACAAAAAGTATTAATTAATTCTGTCACAACTTCTTTTATCGACATCAAAAATGATCACTTGTATTCCTTTGTTACTATATAATGAAGTAAATATTTAATTTATCCAATATCCAATGCACAGCACATTTCTGTTATATACCCCTCACTGCTTGACATGCACTTCTTTCACTTGCACAGTCTAATTTCCAGCACTGCTGCCATCTTCTCTGGACACCTAAACATATACGGTTGCGATCATGTAGCAAGACGGACAATTGCAGGTCAGAGATACATCACCACCATTCCGGGTATTAGAGAAGTGCCAGGACCTATGTCTTCGTGATAGAACAGCAACCAACAACCTCGTCAGAACATGTACCTCATTTGACTTCCAACCTGGCAGCCGTATTGCATCATTTAGTGGTGCAGCAGAATATGAAGAATCAACATGCTATCTCACTCATGAGCAAGCACATCCTGAAGGGATTGGAAATCTTGTGCTAGTCCCAAACAGTGTGCATTTCACTGAGGTCTGCTTATCATGTTAGTATCAAACAACTCTGCAGTTTAATTATGTTATACGTGTACTTCAAGTACCACTATCATAAATTAACAAGTTTTTAAACTTATACAGTGTACATTTAAGTAGTTACTATAGGATTCTAACGATGGTGTATAACACACAGAGATATTGGGTTTACGGACTTTATCCATTGTCCTGGTTTTTAAGATAACTAAGAAAAACATGACGTTTCGAAAACTGGATCTGTTTCCATCCTCAGGTGAGGGAAAACACCTATTCCCTTGGGTCCCTTAGAAAGAGCTAGCCTCAATCACTAGCTCTTTCTAAGGGACCCAACAGAATAGGTGTTTTCCCTCACCTGAGGACGGAAACAGATCCAGTTTCCGAAACGTCGTGTTTTTCTTAGTTATCTTAAAAACCAGGACAATGGATAAAGTCTGAAAACCCAATATCTCTGAGTGTACATTTAGTATACCTAAGGTTTTTTAAAAGATATCCTAACTTACATTACCTTCAAATTATGTACAAGAAAAGAAAATGTAGTTAATGAAAGAAAGCGAAATGATATTATGTAATTCCAGAGCTGTCATATTTTGAATGAAGTGAATACGTAAGACTATGATAAATCTTTCCCTTATAATAGGCAAACATTAATTTTTTTTTAATTTGCTAGTGGGGGGTGAAGTCCAGCTGGGTCCACTCAGCACGGCGGCCACTGATTGGCCTATTGTACCTGCCCCAGGTGATTATGATGTTGGAGAATTTAGTGGACTGAAGATTGGCAGGGGAAACCGAAGTACTCGGAGGAAACCTGTCCAGCACCACTTTGTCCACTACAAATCCCACTTGACCAGACGAGGGATCGAACCCAGGCCGCCGTGGTGGGAAGCCAGCGACTAACCGCTTGAACTATGTCGAGGCCACAAACATTAAATTCAAATGCAACTCTTCATTCACTGTTAGCAGATACTTCTTCAAAATTGGTGAGCTATGAAAGCTGTACACTGAACGAATGAAGAATGGATAATAAGGATAAATGTATTTTTATTAGACTTATTAAAGAAAAGGTAAATTGCATTACTGTTCAATATGTTCTTCAAAGTCTTACAGAAATAGAGCACTACAACGAAACAAAAAATCTGGCTTCAATGAAACTCAAACCAAATTTCTTTTGTTTCACTTTTTTCTCCATTAGAATGGTTTGTTAAAAATTGAGGCGTTTATTTTCATGTAGATTTGTGTATTTTATCGAGATAACAGGCTTTGGCAGCATGAGCAGATATATTTCAATCAAATACAGGAGGTGAACAAAATAATGGAAACATGAAACTGACGAAGAAAATTTGTTTGTATTGACTACATTGAAAGAACTTCATTTGGCAACGCTGAAAGCCCTACTTCCTCTTTTTACAAGATTCAGGCTCATTAGTGGTGGTTTGTTGCTGATCTTCATATGACCGTCCATGTAAAAGACTCAGAAAGTGGGAGACTTGTCCGATTTTGAAAGAGGACAGATTGTTGGTGCGCGTTTAGCTGGAGCATATGTGACAAAAAGACCTATATTATTAGGTGTATCGAGAGCCACAATTTCTAAGGTTCGAGAGCGACAGTTTCTAAGGTTGTGTCAGCATACACGAAGCACGGGAAGACAACATCAGTGAAGAGGAACAGTGGGCGAAAATCAGTATTGACAGAACGAGATCGTCGTACGTTGAGAAGGATTGTTTCGAAAAATCATAGAACTACTGCAGCACAGATGACAGGATAGTGGAACTGAATATTCATCTTGAAGACCCTGTTTCCATGAAAACTGCCCAATGCGGTCTGACGTGAGCTTCACAAATCCAACATCCATGGTAGGGCTACAATTGCTAAGCCTCTATTTACTGTAAGTAATGCACAGATGCGTAAGCGATGGTGTCACACCCAAGAAACCTAGACATCAGACAACTGGAAGCACGCGCGTGATATTATCAGGTGAACTGCGTTTACACTGTTCCCCACACCAGGAATAATTTACGTTTGGAGCATACCCAAGAAAGCATACAACCTGGAATGCCTGGTTCCAACAGTGAAACGGGAGGAGGTCCTGTGTTGGTTTGGGCAGCAATATCATGTACAGTATTCTGTTGGGTCCATTATTACCCTTCATGGCCGAATTACTGCAAAGGCATACGTGGACAGGTTGGGTGATCAGTTGTGTTCCATGATCCAAGATGACAGTGCCCACATTCACACACCTAGATTGTTCAGTCATGATTTGAAGAGCATGAAGGTGAACTTCAACCTCTTCCCTGGCCATCACAATCTCCAGATTTGAACAGCATTGAACCTCTAGCCAGTTTTGGATACTAGAGTGAGGAACAGATTCCCACCTGCAACGTTTCTAAAACAGCTTGAAGATGTTCTTCAAGAATAATGATATAAAATTCCTCTAGAGACTGTTCAAACCTTGTATGTGTGCATTCCAAGAAGGATTGTGGATGTATTGAATACAAAAGGTGGTTCAACGTCTTATTAATAAAGAAATGTGTACAGTATGTGTAATGTTTCCATTGTTTTATCCAACCCCTGTATATTTGTATACATGGAGATCTATGTTCAACTAATGTAATAAGCAATTATTTCAAACTAAAATTTCAACAGAAAGTTGTCATAAATGTTTTAACATTGATTTGGTTTTGAAAGAGTATCTTAGTGTTCATAGGTTTTTAAATTTTACATGAATAATTTAAAGGCTCCCCTTCATGTCACCCTAGTAATATGTAAATAATTGTTACAGCAAGTCGCGTGGAAAGAGAGTGCCCGAATCGGCGCTATGTATTCGAACGGCATCCAAGGAAGAAGCTCAGGCTCCCTGCAATGGATTTAAAGCAAGTGACGTCAACAAATCGCAGTGACTGTGAAGATAGGTCAGTGTGAACTGTGCATAATCTTGTATTCTTGGGGTGGGTTGAGACGGGAGTCCCCTGCTACTCTGGCCTCAAATGTACCAGCCCAGGATGGTAGGCAAGTGTGGAACAATGGTGGAATGATAATTGGCAGGTGAAAATCAAAGTGTTCAGAGACAAGTTTGCCCCAGCACTACTTTGTGCATCACAACTCGTACATGGGTTTGAAACCAGGACTCTGCGATGAGAAGTAGTGACAGACCATTTGAGCTATGTTGTGGCCATAATTTAGTGAAGGGAAATGCAATATTAGTATTTAATTAAAAATTAACTGTCAACTGATGAATATGCTGTAATTCATGGAATGTAAGTTTACTAAGTTTTGTAAAATAATGTTACACTGAAAGTTTATTAGAATTATTTGGAATTCAAAGTGTCTTGTATTCTTTTCACTTACATTGTGATCTCAATATTTAAATTTTTCTGAGTTCATTAGTTCTTTTTTTGAAAGTTTGTGTTTCTCTTACTGTTTTTGAAGCAAAACGCAGCAGTGATTCATTGTTATTACAACATTTAATGAGCTAAGGTGATATTTCATTGGTGCAAGAATTAATATTTTCAGAAGTGCAATTTTTTGGTCTCATTTGTTGTGGCCAGGTGTGAAATTCAGTCCAGTGGCCTAATTACAAATAAAGGTACAGATATTAAGATATTACGTCTGATTGTACATTAAGGAAATGTCACATTACTGTTCCAGATGTTTGAACGAGTTTAGTTTTGTGTGTCGCTCTGCTTCTTATGATGCAGCAGCACATACATGTTCGTTAAGTCGCTTCACCCGGCGCACACATCCTGAGCTCCTCGAAGATGACCCAAATTGTGACTACTTGGAAAACACCTGTCTGAATGGTACTATCTCAAGTGCTGCCATTTTGTTAAATAATATCACAAGTATGAGCGACTGCAGACATGGTTTAGATTATTGGTGATTGGGTTTATTAACCACTTACAGATTGTAACTACAAGTAATTATAGCGCCACTGTTAATCTTCACACTTTACAAATAACTAGAGCCCACACCAAACCTTCTCAGTCTGCTTTGACTAGACATTTCCTGGTAACGGATCCCAGCAGTGTTCTTTTCTGATGTCCTTACCAGCTGCTGAATATCCCACAACTGAATAATCTCTAAAGTTCGTCCTGCTTTTAACCTCTCAGCAATGGACTGCATAGAAAACACTACTCATTGTTGTAATTCAGTTGCTGCTTCTCAGGAATGCATCATCACCTAACAGCGGGCGCTGTATACTGAGTCATTACTTAGCAACTGTTCTACATGCCACAAAAATGACAAAGCTATGTAATACTGTCAAGAACTAAGGACTGATTTATTCATTTTTCATCATATAAAATTTCCCAAGTTAAATAATTTCTTGTGTCGTCTTCACATTTACATATCATTCCATTCATTATACTTTCAACAGGAAATGAGTCAAAATATGTAACGAAGCTGAAGATGGTCACTTTGAACATTTAATGTAAAATGAACTGTACTGAACTGTACAATGTAAGAACTCATTCATGAAAACAACCAAGTTACATGTATAATCATCCTTGTATTTCATGCATTCGTAGCTCTCTAAATGTTGAAAATTAGACCCATGTTTAAGACATTTCTGTCTGGAAACAAATTATGGAATAAGTCCCTGAAGGACTGACATAATATCATGAAACATTTCTTATATTCATGATTCATACACACCAGAAATGCAGGTTCTAATTAAAGATTGTCCTGATTAAAATTTTCTCTTCTTCTCATATTTAGTAAAGATATTTATTTTTTTCAGTGTGGTTTGTGAAGGTGGGTAATGCTACACAAGAAGCCATGCATATGTGCATGAATGACAAAAGAACTAGAAAGCCCCTACAAAACCAATATTGTTCATTGTGTTAATCCATACTTTTTGGTTGTGTTTCATGTTTTATAATAAAAAACTATGTTTCTAACAAATTTTTGACTACATTTACTAAAAATGATACAAATATTTTCACCTGCAATAGAAGCAGTAATCTCATTTATATCATTCTAACCTTTGAAAATGTTAATTATGTTTTATTTATTTTCCAGCAGAAAGACGGTGTGATGGTCTTGCAGTATTTGTCAAGGAAGAGAATAAGAGGCTTGGTGGTCCATTTGAAGTAGATCTGTACAGCAATAAAACGTTAGAAGCTTGCCAGGCGCAGTGTCTCCAAGCTGAGAAGTAAGTGAACGTGTGTCTGCATGCACACGCGAGCCCAAAGCTGTCCTTTGTCACACTTTTTACATTTAAGAAAGAAAGCCTATTTCCAACATTTCAAATTATTCTTATTAGATACTCGTACTTTCATAATTTCCATATATAATATGTAACACTCTAAAATTATGTTTATCACAGTTGTTGCATCTATTTTAATGTAATGGTGTTTGTAGTTGTAGAATGGATTAATATGATTTAAGGAAAGATTCATTCATTAATTTCTTTGGTGCTGGTGATGAATCTCTAAGTTAGGTAGCAAAGGTGTCTTCCAGCAGCTGAATATGTACTGGCTGCTGAGGAAAGAGGTTTTGTGCCATCATTTGTAGGAAGTATGAACAGAGCATGTGTTTTACTATGATGACATATAATTCATATTGCTGTGTTTCAACATCAGACTGCTGTGAATGTCAAAGTTAATCCTTTTTTGGAGAGTGGTAGAAAACACTTACATTTGTCCACTGTTAGGTATTTCTGCCGGTCAGTTGAATATGATGAGCAGACACACTTGTGTGTGTTATCCGAGGAGGACTCTGTGTCCCAGAAGGATGACTTGCGCACAAGCAGCAGTCCTACACATCACCTGTATGACCTGGTCTGCTTGGATAACCGTAAGTAAATTTGCTTATGTAGAGAGTTTGGAAAACCAACCCTCAGTGTTCTGTGAAAGTGGAAATTACAAATGTTACTTCATCAGTAAATTTACCAGTAATTATCATATTTTAGCAGCTCTATGGCAAGAGCCAGAACAAAGAGCATTATTTCTGATTCTAAATCATTTGAATGAACTTAACTTCTCTCTCACAGTATATTCCTGTATGGTCCTCAGCACCCAGGGTAGCCTTACCTATTAATATTCGATATAAAAGAAATCATAATATGATAAATCAGTTATAAGGAACACTAATATTATTTTGAGTTTAGGCCTGAATTATAATGCCCTTTAAATGTTCTGGCTTTCCCCCAAATGTAAATTCCTGTGCAGCGACTAATGATAAAGTTTATTGTCTCTGCAGTGTACAAGCATGTTAACATTGTCACGTCACACTATGTTACTAGTGATAAGTAATAACATAAGCTTCTTTAAATATTTTTTGAGTATAACGATGAAAGTATAACGAAGAAGTTTCTTCTTTGTAAATATAGGCTCTTCTGTTCAGAAGTTTGAATATGATTTCTGTGGGACTGTTGAATTAACAAGTTGATAGTTTCCAATTATCACAATATGTATCAGGTTAAAGTGGGCCCTTGTCACCACAGCGTGGCATGGTTGCTGTTTAGGCTGTAGGTGGAGGAGACAGCCTCTAGATAAGGAGCATATTTAAGAACATACTGAATATGCCATCGCAGAGCGCTGACAAGGGGTGTTCCTCTAGCATGGCAGCTGGGAATAGTTCCAAAATCTCATTGTAAAAGAACTGACATCATATGGGATGTTATGTGTGGCCTTGACAAGCCCTTGTGAACACTGCTGAATCTTTTTGTTCCATGAAATGCCAGGAAGTTCGTAACTGACTGAGTGACAGTTTGCTTCTCAAGAGGGGTTGTACACCATGACATTAGAAGATAGCTAGTTACCATTTTCTGGTGCTCAGATATTGTTTAATATAATTTTCTTCTGGCATGTGACACCATGTAGTGTGATAGATGTTACAGATATTTTGAAGGAATATCATACTTCTATGTTTGGGGTAGATATATAAAATGAGTGTGAAATATGTGGTTCATATACAAGGAAAGGGACAGCTGAGATAGTGGGTGAACAGAGGGAGTAAGGAGAACAGTGAAAGAATATCTGACCATTAACAGGGTTCAGCTTTCTCTTCTGGCCTGATGAATATTGGTAAGCTTCTACCAGGCTTCACATGTTCAGATCTCGCTCAGACAGCCTACTGTTTATTTACAGCACAAGGGAGTGAATTCCCTGATAACTCTGTAACATCCCACTTGTTTGCTGATGGCCGCCGCCCAGATACAGCCTTCCAGCGTTATCGTAACAGCCGTCTAGGAGGGGAATTCCACTCAGAAATTACTGGACGTACATTGAGTGAATGTTTAGATGAATGCCTACGTCAAGCAAGTTTCCAGTGTCGCTCAGCTGTTTACAGTGATCGTTTTCGTACATGCCGACTTAGTCGCTACAATCAGCGTGATGGTTTCCGTATCATCTATGATGCAGATTATGATTACTATGAAAACCTTATGAGTAAGTAAGATGAGACACAAAATTCAAAACCAGATTATTTTACATAAATAGTGGTGGCTGATGGGTGTGTAATGGTGGTACTAAAAAACTCTGTTTTGAATTAGCATAGCATTCTTAGGGCCGCTGTTTCCACCATTTCATTCCTAATTGTTCTGAATGGTTATGCGTTATTAATATTAACTTATAACAAATTATTGAAAATGCGAGAAGAGGAATTCTATACTTAGAGACATTCGATGTGCTCAAATAAAATTTTGTTTGATTTCTCAAATTATCTCACTAAATAAAGAAAAATTGCATACCCTGTCCACCTAAATCTGAGGTTCTCATTTTAGTGAATATTAAGATTACAGTGCTCTAGTATATTATGCCATGTAGTTACATAGATTCAAACATTCCAGTTCTGTCCCAAAGATAAAGGCAGAAGATTCCTCCAAAATACTTGATACCTATCTACCAAACTACATAGCATCACATCATATGCCAGAAGACTGTAATCTTCCTGTAGTTAAGCTGATACTTTATGTTTCCTTTTTTATAAGTTTGTGAATATATAATGAAATATAATGTTATTATTTTCTTTTAGAAAAGCAGAAGTTCAGTCTGTCAAGAATGAGTTACAGGAAAATTTTGATGGTCACAGCATTTCTCTTGTCACAGAGCTCCATAAAATTTAATGGCAGAAAATGATCATGCCACATGTATGACATATACAGGGTTATTTATTTCCTTCATTACAGGTGAATGCAAGTCACCATTATAAACATATTTTCATGTATTTATGGGCACATGACTAGCAATAATGGGGTTTGGATTGGTTGATTGGATTTATTGAACACTCCTTTACAATCACTTGTAATCACAATGATCTACAACAACTCACAGTAAATCTTCAGCCGACCTTTCTTCCTTGACTGCTGAGGACTCGCTCTGTTCTGGTTCTCTCTCTGATTTGATTCTGTCCTGTACTACTTGTATAGTCTCAAGGCAGACCCATAGAAAACCGTCCATTGCCTAACACTGGATGTCCTCTCCTGTTGGTTCAGTATTTGTTGCGGGCTTGTTTACCAAGTTGTTCCATGTCAGTGGTTCTACATGTCACATTATCTGCATTCTGAAGATCTGTAAACAAAATGCAATCATTTAGCAGCAGTAATAATTCTGGCAGGAGGAAATGGCTGTAATTACACGTTGTCATTACAGATATAATTGAACAGGGAAACACTGCAGGTTGTTACTGTCATAATAACTTTAATAATAATTTTCTAAATACAGACCTTTGTCTTCCATTGGGAAAAGAATATATCCTCGCTTTAAATATTGCAACAATAGAAAAATACATGAAATTCCTCCTAGACTTCGCATCAATATAAATGCAATGGAAATCAGTTGATATTTGAGATGAAGTAGTAAAATTCTGACGACTGATGAGTGGCTAAAATAGTGAAGGAAGCTCACAACAGAATAAAATTGTTTATGTAGTTTAATAACTTTGTCCATCACTTTGCAGAAACATTAATATGTACAGGACTGCAAGGTCTCCATTCATCCTCAATTTTCTGTCTCCTTTAACTTAGAATGCCAATTGTCATGAACCAGAATTATTTTCTGTATTGCTTAGTATAGACTAATGATGGCTGTATAAAACCCCTGTGCACATTACTCTTCTCACTCACTCATGTCGAATATTTCCAGATATCACACATGATTTGTAAATGAGATGAAAAAAATCCATTTGTTCAAAAATACAAGGTGGTTCAAATATGACCGGGACTGATTTTTTTTATAAAAACCATAATTTCCCAACACTTACTTGCACATGTCAGTCTTCAATGTACTCCCCTCTGGAGTCAACACATTTTTTCCAACGTTCTGCAAGCATCCTGATGCCCTTTTCAAAAACGGCTTGTGGTTGCGGTGTATCCACTCCCGAACAGTCTGGATGATGGTGTCGTCCACAAACCGCATGCCTTGCAAGTCTGATTTGAGCCTTCGGAACAGGTAGAAATCACTTGGGGCCAAATTGGGACTCTATGGCAGATGTGTTAGAAGGTTCCATTTCAATTTCCAGAGGGTTTCCATTGTTGTTTTGGCCGTATGGGGGCATGCATTGTCTTTCAGGAAGGCTACCCGCTTTCCACCTGCCTTCCGCTTGGATCGGAGCTTTTCCTTCATGTCTGTTGCCAGGAAGTTTGAGTAATAAACTGCATTGACTGTCCTGGCATCTGTCAGAAAGTCTACGTGGATAACCCTCTGCCAGTCCGAGAAGAACATTGCCATCACTTTTAATGCTGAATGGCTCCTCCATGCTCTCTTGGGTTTGGGAGAACTGGTATGCCGCCACTTACGTGATGATTGCTGGGACTTGGGAATGAAGTAGTGCACCCACGTTTCTTCAGTGGTCACTATAGACCTAAAAAATGCATCACCTTCATCTTCAAACTGCTGTAGGAGATGACTGGCAGCTTGCATGCACACCATTTTGTTCACATCCGTCAAAGTGCGTGGTACCCACCGTGCATTCACCTTGCAATAGTGCAGGTGGTATTTCACAATGCCTTCTACACTACCCAAACTGATGGACAGCATTGCTCAAAGTTCCTTGATAGTGATGCACCTATTCTCATGAATAAGTGCGTCTGCACGATCAATGTTTGGCTCGGTGATGGATGTTCACGGCCGACGATCATGCAGTTCATTCTCCACGCGCTCTCTGCCTTCTCTGAAGCCCTTACCCCACTCAAACGCACAGGTCCATGAGAGACACTCTTCCCCATAATGTTCTTGGAGTCTGTGGTGAATTTCAGCAGACAGGACGTTTTCTTCAACGAGGAATTTGATCACAATGCATTGTTCCACGCTCTGTGGTACCTACTGTTCACTCACCACTCTAGCAACTCCTGTACAGGAGTGAACAGATTCTAACGCGAACAGGAGGGAGGGTGGAGGTTGTGGCTTCACTCTCTCAAGGTCGCACAGCTGCTGCACAATGCAGCTTGTTTACACACAAATCGGTCCGGGTCATATTTCAACCACCTTGTATTTTGGATTTGCCATAAATGTTAACCAGATTTGTATACAGTTCATTACTTTCTTTATATTAAGTGTAATCGCTGAATCAGAATTTTAATTTGGCTTGAAATATTCCAATTCAGTAATATGGCTGTCTCTGGTTTAACCCTCTCAGCCTGCCATTTTGTGGAAGTGTGTGATGAACCATATATGATACCACTAGTACTGAATAGGCTGGTCTAGTGGTAACACTTGTAAGACTTGTATTCAGGAGGTGCTTGGTTTGAATCTTGGCCGAGATGACTATACTGTATATTTGATATACCCGATGTTTTGAGAGCTGGTTCTGATGCCATCTTCAGGTGACTGCTGCCAGATTTGTTTATACTTCTTTATTTTAATATCAGTTGTGACAGCTTGGACTGAATCTGAGTGGGTATCCTACTAGCATGACATTATAAAGTTCCTGGGTTTAATTACTGCTGTTATTACTAATATTGAAAGAAAGAATAATAACGAACCTGTCGGTACAATGGCAGCTGATCTCCTCAAGAGGGGAGGAGAACTTGTTCCTAGAAGTCAAGTATATCAATTGTACCACAAACAAAGGAAAATATCAAATCTGTATACTCATGTAATTCTACTGAATGATTCTTATTAAGGGCAGGTGATAGACTACAATTGGATAAGGAAATTTTTTTTGGAAAGTGGACTTTGTACAATGTGGTCCGTCCCCCATCTCAATTGCCATTGTCAATTTTGATTCAGTTCCTACATTTCCATTTCACTGTGTGAGATTGTATATTTTAATGGTGTGAGTTAAAGGCAAAGTTTGTATTTCCACAGTTCACAGAGGGATTTCCATAATGAAAATATGACTCCAACAAACAAGTTTCCATTGCATGGTCTATGGAAAAGAATTCTGTTGGTAGAATTCCAAATGCAAATTAGAGAGCAATCACTGTGCTTTCTTATTTATTTGTGCACATATCACACTCATTCATTTTTTCTAGCTCGCTATATAGATGGGGAAGGAACAAATTATCGTCCCGACCATTTGGGGCAAGATTCCAGTCAACAAGGTCATGGTCATGGGCGGCCTTCACACAATAGCTTAGGTATGGTAACCCCCAGGTGTCTTGCATTCACTGACATTCTGGATGTACTGAAATGCATGGGATCTTCCAGTTTCATTAAGAAAATGTTTATATAAAAATCCTTAATTTGAATAAAACAGAAGAAAAGAAGTTATCTGAATATATATAAATATACAAGGGAGATATTTACGCAGAGAAATTCTTAATACCAAAGTAGAAAATAGAGGAAAGTCATAAGTGGCCATCATCCTCATCACTGTGGTGCAGGATTGCTGAGGTGATAAGTAATATATAATTACTGCAATGGTGCTAAGGTAGCAGGCACACACCACAATTCTGTTCTCTTCCATTCTGCTATCATCAGTATCACTCTTTATACTAGTTTTATTATTGCTATTATTATTATTATTATTATTATTATTATTATTATTATTATTATTATTATTATTATTATT